CCCATGGCCTATGTCCCTACTTCTGTCCCCTCAGACAGTCTTCCCCAGCACCAGCTCAACATCGGCCACCCCTTGCACCTCTTCCTACATTATTACTGTTTCATAATTTGTCATGTTAAAGCATGATGCTTGTGCTTTGTGCAACTAGGTTTATGTGCACAGATGAATGTACATATATAGAATTTTTTAATTTACTTTAAAATTAAAAAAAATTGTTTTATGTGTATGAGTGTTTGCCTGCATGTGTGTGCAATGCCCACAGAGGCCAGAACAGGGTGTCAGATTCCCCTGGAACTGGAGTTAGGGACAGCTGGTAGCCACCATGTGGGTGCTGGGAATCAAACCTAGGTCCTCTGCAAGAGTAGCCAGTGCTTTAAAAATTTAACCATCTCTCCAGCCCCTTTATTTATTTATTTATTTATTTATTTATTTACTTACTTTCTTTTGTATGTATGAGTGTTTTGCCTGCATGCCTGTAAGTGCATCATACTCATGCAGTACCCACAGAGATCAGAAGAGGGCTTTGGATCCCCTAGAACTGAGGTTACAGATGTTTGTTAGCCATGTGGATGCTGGAACTTGAACCCAGGTCTTCTGCAAGAGCAGTCAGTGTTCTTAACTGCTGAGCCATCTCTCCAGCCCCTGTTAGTTTACTTCTTATTTCTTGATTTCTTGCTTTTTCCCACTTCATGTGAGTCACATGAAAGCACAGTCTTTGTCTCTCTTCATTATTACTGTCTCTTAGGGGCCTAGAACATCATCTGGCAAGAAGCAGGTGTCCATTATCATTCTAGAAGGAAGGAGGGAGGGAGGGAAAAAGAGAAGCAAAGGGGAGGGAGGGAGGCAGGGTAATGGAGAAAATGATCCCGATTCTCTCTCCCCAAGGGGCTGCACAGAAACAAGCTATAGGCTGGGAAAGCCCACTGCCTTGGCTTCCTCCTGCCTTGGGGCCCCAGTGCCCACACACCACTTCTTGCAAGGCTGGCCCCCTACCCTTCTTAGCCAGCCTGGGTCCTGTCCCCTCAGGGCCCAGTAGAGAGGAAAAGTCAGCCTGTCTGATCTGGTTGCTTCTTCCTGTCTGGGCTCAGTAATCATGGTGCTGCTGTTTGTCTAGGTCTTGTCTTCTCAGACTGGACCAGTCTTGGAATCAATCAGGGATGTGGTGACAACCCACAGCCTTTGACATCCCTTGGGGCAAAGCCCCTCAATATTCCAGAGGTTCAGGTGACTCACTGTCTTCATTGGCTCTGGAAGCACTGTAGCTGGTGGCCATTCTGGCTGCTACTTCTGCCACCATGGTGGTCGTTCCAATGGATGCTCTGTTCATGTCCTGCCATGGCTGCTGCTTTTCCGGTCACCTCTAGTGCACAGGAAGCTGGAAGATAGGTTTTTCTTCTTGAGTGACTCATGGTTCTACTTTAAGCTCATCGAGGTAGCCATTAAGTATACATACATACACACACACACACACACACACACACACACACACACACACACACAATTCCTCTGGGAGTGGGCCTGAGGATGCTGCTGCCTGGGCTGAAGGCTGGCCAGGGGACATTGCAAGGCAGGACCCAGGTTTCAGAGCTGATAAGACTTTGGTTCAGGCCTCTAGGTTTTTCACAGCCCTCTTCACATTCCTCTGGCCTTTAGGGACCCACGCACACTTGGGAACCAAGCTCACCAGGCCTTCTGTGGTGTGGTTCTTTATCCTTCAGTCAGAAATGAGGTTTCTGGCCTCTCCCTGCATGCAGTGTTGCCAGGCTGACACCTGAGCATCTTGTAGCAGTGTAGTTCTATGTTCCATGGCTCGTGAAGCCTTCTCAGTCCCTTGTAATGGGGCATCCTGTTCCCAAAGGGATGAAGGATATACATATTTGGGTTTCCTTGGAATGCTTTAAATGCCTCTCCCTGAGTGTCTTCTATGGCTCCACTTGCCCGTTGCAATTTGAGAACAGTGTTGTGCCTGGTCTATTGCTGCTGTGTCCTCAGCGTCCTCCCAGCCCCCAGTGCATACTATACCAAGTATAGGAATGTAAGAATGAACCATGTTCATGAGTCATACAAAGTCTTAGAACTAGGAACCTGTCTTTACTCTGCATACCCTCTGCAGTCCAGGCTCAAGCCTGAAAAGTGCTAGATGAGACTTAACTGGGTGGTTCCTGGCTCTGAGAGGGTTTCACTTGCTGGGGGTGGAGAGAAGGTCCTTCTCCTGTCTTTCTTGAACAAGAGCAAAGGTAGAATTGCCACCTAAAACATGGGTCATCTGGTTACATTTGAGGAATAAATATTTAGTATGTTGTAATACTTGAGATATATTCATGCTAATTTTTTTTTTTTTGGTCTTTTTTGAGACAGGGTCTCCCTGTAGTCCCAGCTAGCCTGGAACTCGCTAAGTAGACCAGGCTGGCCTCAAACTCACAGAGATCCTCTTACCTCTGCCTCCCGAGTGCTGAGATTAAAGGCATGTGCCACCGTGCCCAGCCTCATGCTAAATTTTATTTTAAAGATTTTTTTTATGTTTAAGTGTGTGTCTGTGTGTGTGTGTGTCCATCTACAGAAACCAGAGGTGTCAGATTCCCCAGGAGCTGGAATTACAGGCAGTTGTAAGCTCCTCAATGTAGTTGATGGGAATTGAACTCAGGTCCTGTGGAAGAGCAATACATACTCTTAACAGCCTCATGCTAAATTTAAAAAATATTTATGATTCTTATTTTATGCATATGAGTGTTTTGTCTGCATGTATGTAAGTGCATAATGCCTGCAGAGGACAGAAGAAGCCATTGGATCCCCTGAAACTGGAGTTATAGGCAACCGTTAGCAACCATGTGGGTGCTAGGATGCAAACCTGGGTCTTCTGAAAAGACAGCCAGTGCTCTTTAACCACTGAGCCATCTCTCCAGCCCCAGAACAGCAAGTGCTTTTAACCTCTGATTGCTAATTTTTTTTTTTAAGTTGAAATTTAACTGAGAATCCTGGCGATTTCTCCCTCTGCTTTCTGAGTCTGGTAATCTTCAGGAGAGTCAGCCAGGTGGGAGTGGGTCTCAGGAAACTTCTGGTTCTTGAGAACAAGATCCATTCTGCTCAGAGCCCTGGCACTCCTGCTCTTTAATGCTTTTGATCCGAGGTCCAGAATCACCCCTAGCACACTGAGCCCAGGCTCCTCTACATCTCTAACCCCCACTACACTGCCACACTGGTGGTCAGGAACTGCCTTCTGAAGCAGTGAGATTGGAGACTTGAATGAGCCCAGTGATGATCTAAGAAATCAATATAACAGAGCAGGAAGTGTGTCAAGTGCAGAATTCTACACACAGAGGTCCTCCGCATTTCAAGACTGGACTACATCTTTGTGTGGCCCAAGGAGGGGTGGTAAGGGAACTCTGCCTGTCTAAGCTGTAGGTTCTTAGGCTTCAGAGGTAGGAGTTCCTGCTGTAGGGAACAGGAAAAGGCACTCTGGAGGTCTCTCAGCCTGGGCTGGGGTCTCTGGAAGCTGGACCAGGCTGGCCCTAGTGCTTGACAGCACTTTGATGGGTTCCCCTATTTTTATAAAGTGGGGTGCATGGATGCATGGGCCCTTATGAGTGAGTCCTCACAGGCTGAGGCAGAGGTCTCTCCCTCTCTTCAGCAGGCCCCTGAGAACACGTCAGGGGTGGGGGCTGGGGGTGGTGTGTTCTCCTAGGAGAAAAGCACAGCTGCTAGCTGCAAGACCATGTGGGTCCCATGAGTCCCCAAGGCACTGAAAGTCCTGCACCATAACCAGGGAGCTCAGCACTTCAAGATTCTGTCTTGCCAAACCTGTCTGCCCCTCCTCTTCCTCCAGGAAGCCCAGAAGTACCCACCAAGCAACAGGAAATGAATGGCTCTACTCCACCTTTAGTTTGTAAGTATTTATTGCCTGTTAGCATACCAAGGAAGCTGTTGCTTTCTTTAAAATGTCCATTAACTTCCTCCAGATGAAAAGCTACCATAACAGAATTCTGATGCTTGGATGGTTTAAACTTGGTCACTCCAAGGGAACTGGTCGTGTTGGTGCAATCTCAACCATGCGCTCCCTCTAAAAGGGTTTCTGGCCTAGCCCTCCAGATTCTGAACTCTGCCACACGGAAGTTCCCAGTATGCCAAGGAGTTCCAAGGACTTCCTTCCGCTGGGTGAGGGCAGGTAAGAGGCCAGTTCCACAGCCAAGGATGCTTTGCCTCACAGGGAAAGAGACCCCATTTCTCTCCCACTCTTGGCCCCTTGATAACTATGGTTCAGCATCCAACAGGAAAGAACCTTTTGTTCCAGGCTTGTAGGAAGTCTGCACTGAGCCCTTATCTACCCACAGCATTTCCTGGATAGGGGGCGGGGGCCAGAATCAGCTGCCCAAGTTCCCAGCCTTGGCAACCTCCAGGCCCAAGCCCAGACCTTGGCAACAGGTCTAGGCCTTCATGAAAGGCTGGGAGCGCCAGATCTCTCCTTTGGCTGGTTCTGACTCCGTCTGTGTCTATCTCGTGCAGAGCCTCCTGGCTTGGGAAAAAGGGAGGTAAAATCTGTCAACAATCATGTGTGTGTGACACGTAGGCAGAGGAGGGGAGGACAGGATTATTCCCAGCCTTCCAGTAAAGTACCATCTCCGCCCACGCCACCTGGGGAAGGGGTGACCTTCGGGTTCCCGCAGCTGCAGCGTGGGCCCGGGCCGTGCCTGACACCTAGCGGCCTCCTGAGCTCGGGCCGCGAGGGCAGGGGAGGCACGAAGGGTGCAGGGCAGAGGGCGGAGGGCCTGGAGCCGAGGCGCCCAGAGCAGGTGCCCTGCACCCACCGGGTCCTGACTCGGGTCGGCACCCGCCCCAGGCCGGAGCGAACCGGGCCGCCCATCCCCGCGGTGGGAGGCGGACGTGGGGTCGGGCAAGGCGAGTCGGGAGCCGGATCCTGAAGATTGTAGGAACTCAGGTCCGAGTGCGGGCGCCTTGCGGTACTTCCGGCCCGTTTGATTGTCGCCTAGTCGCGCGCGCACGCGCGGCGGCCAACCCGTCGCCGTGGCGACGCCGTCGCACCGCGGAGTCGCGGAACCTGCAAAGCAGCCCATGCGCTGCCCACGGAGCTGGCGCAGGCGGGGCTGCGACGGCGCGCAACTGGACGAGGTAGGCGGTGGGGAGCTGGGGGCCGCGACGGGGAGGGCGGCGGGGGCAGCTGGGAGTACGGCCAGGCGAGCCCCGGGCTTCCGAGCGCCCCCCCCTCCGTGCTCACCTGCAGCCGCCCCGCCCCAGGCTCAGCCCTGCTTCCCGGCTGCTGCGGCCCGGCCAGGTGCAGCGAGGACTCTGGCTCCTTCCTGGAGGAGGGAGTTCCTGCCACAGTGAAGGCAGAAAGAGGGTGGCGGGAAGGCTCTGCTGAAGTTAGGAAGGAAACTCCTGGCAGACCCAAGTTTAAGTGTAGGGGCTTGTGACCATGTTTCCGAGCAAGGTGGGTGGGAGCGAAGCCATCTCTGTTGGCCACAATTGTTCTTCGAAACAATTGTTCTGAACTTCGCTTCTTCTGCAGCTGGATTCTGTGTTGTAATGCTCGACAGGTGGATCCATTCTCCTCTTTTGACAATTCACCTTCCTTGGGTGAGATTAGGGGTTCCTAGACTGGCAGAAGCCTGACTCTTGGCTTTGGCCTTGGCCGGCGCTGAAGGGTGGGTACAGCAAGTACGGAACTACTCTGGAAGGGAGGGATCTGCTGCTGTCTTTACATCTCCACTTTCCAGCAACCCCCCCCCCGCACTGCGTCACAAGACATAGAAGGGTCCTTGGGGCCCCTGGCCTCCCTCCTGTTTGCCCTCTCTTCTCTTCTTTCGGTCTTGGCAATCACAGGGTTTTCTAAGATTAAAGTTCCGTCTTAGGTCACCTGGATTCTGTTTCTTTTCATATCAAAAAAAAGCAAAGCAAAGCAGGGCCACCTCTTTTAAATACCTTGATATCTTCCCAGTAATTGGATCCAGGTCAGAAAATACTGGACTGCTCTAACCCCACCCCTTCGTGGGAGCAGCTCCTGGAACTAGCAGTGGAATAGCCCACAAATGCCCTGTCCCACCTCCTTCCTAGGCCTCTTTATAAGAGGGTTCTGGGTTGGTGAATCCTTGTCCTAGTTACTTTCTATTACTATGATAAACACCGCGACCAAAACCAACTTGAGGAAAGGGTTTATTTCAGCTTAAAGTTCAGTTCTTCATCCAGGGGGACCAGGGCAGGAGCTCAAGCAGGAACCTGGAGCACAAACCAAGGAGGAATGCTGCGTACTGGCTTGCTCCTGTAGCCTGTGCCCAGCCTGCTTTCTTATACAACATGTCCAGGGGTGGTACCACCCACAATGGGTTAGGCCCTTTCACATCATTCAATAATCAAGAAAATGCCCCACAGACATGGCTACAGGTGAGACCAGTGGGAGGAAATTCCTTGTTGGAGGTCCCTCTACCCAGGTGTGTCAAATTGACAACTGACACTATCCAGCACACCCATCATGAGAAATAAAATGCCTAAAGCCAGCTTCACTGGGAAAATATTCTCCACTTTCTACTTAATTCATAATTGAATTTGGGGAATATAAAATATCAGAGATTAAAAGCAGACTACTTGGACCAAGTGTGGTGACAGGTGGCTGTAATCCAAGTACTTAGAAGGCTGATGTAGGTGGCTATAAGTTTGAGACCAACCTGGGCCATGTAGGGAGACCGTGATCCAACCTTATCTAACAGCAACAAAAAACTAAAAGGCTGCTCTGCATTCTTCCTTGCTGGAGAAGTTTCTGTTCTGTAGGCGGCAAGGGTTATGATGGGCAGAAGTAACATTAGAGGGGTGTGTGCTGTCCTGCCATCTGGCTCTCAGGCCCCCAGCCTCACGGATCAGTCGCTACTGTTGTGATTAGCTGACACATTAGGAGCAGGTTTATTTTTTGTTCAGTTGCTGCTTGACTTAATGGCAGGCACTGTGTTAAGCACTTGTGCATATCCATCCATCCATGCATATCTCCCCCCACCCGCTTAACTTTTCTGTAGTCTAATAATGTAGGTCTCACTGTCCCCTCACCTTACAGATGAGGAGGCAGGCTAAGAGAAGGGACATGGCCTTCCTGTAGTACATGGTCTTAAAGAGTGGAGCCCATTTTGAATTCCTGTTTTTCTCTCCCAGGCTGCATTGGGGCCCCTCCCTCCTCCACAAAATTAGATAAGAATGATACTTTCAAATTGTGTTGGCATAAAGGTAGGTAGCATTACAGACTGGATTAAAATTAAATCATTTTCCTTCAATCCTAAAGATTTTTTTTTCCTTCTGCTTTGAACAGAAAAACATCTCCCCCGCCCCTTTTTTGGCTGGTGTGAGTGCTGGCACCAAGTCTCTGCACTTGATGCTGACTTTAAGGTTCACTTTCTTCCCAGGAGCACCTTGGGTGCCCCCATCCAACAGTTCACCCTGGTTCTACCTTTTTCTCACTTCATTCTAGGAGAACCTCACCATTTTCACCTGTCAAGGAAGGCTCTAATCCCTGTCCCCGTCACAGTATTTTCTAACTTAAAACCTTGCTGCTGATAGGGAGGGTTATGGCTAAGTCAAGCTTCCCACTGTCCACCTTCCTCATGGTCCCTCTCTGCCTCCTGGGCTGTACAACATGTGCAGTGTCTGGTCCCGGTAATCATGTTAGGTGTGGTTGCCTTTTAATAAAGCACAGTGGGTCTGGAGGGGAGCTTGATGTACAGCACAGGTTAAAGCCTTGCGGGTAGCAGTGTCCCTGTGTGATTGCATTAAGTGGGCGTCAGTCTGCAGGTGGGTAATATGCTTGACTGGCACAGCCCAAAGTTTCACAAGCTGCCAGCGTCTTGTTCTCTTGGAGAGGAAGGAGAGTAATCCTGTAAGGGGCCCCAGGAGCCCTCTTCTGGCAAGACTGGCCCAAGTGTAGTGGTGTATTCAGGAGGTTGAGGCACAGAGATGTTGAGTTTGTTACATTGTAAAAGCCTACAGAGAGAGAGAGAGAGAGAGAGAGAGAGAGAGAGAGAGAGAGAG